AAAAAAAAAAAAAAAAAAAAAAAAAAAAGTATCTGTTTCACTTCTGCAACATCTAGGGCTACTAGATTTTGTTCCTACATCGTCATGCAATTCTTTCTAATGTTTCGTTTTCTTCTTCCTGTTTCTACCAAATATAATATATCCATGAAGTATCCAGACACACATTCTCTCCCTCCATCCCCCAGTTAGGTGTTTGATTTAGTTCATTTTATTTTCATCCTTGTCAAGTACCAGAAAAGAAAACATTTTTGTTTCTTCTTTTTTTTTTCAATTTTCATTTTCCGTCTAAATGGAAGAGGTAATAAAGTGTAAACACACTTATCTATGTTCAATTGAGTTGCTGCATGGGCCCAATGACTGCCATTCAAATCCTAAAATTAGACACTAGAGGCTTGAAACCTCAGAAGTTTTCTCCATCAAATCCTTTCAGTGACACGATATGTGACAGTGGACCTTCCCTGCAACTCTTTCGAAGATCAGTAGAAATTCCGAGTTCTTAAAAAAAATGAAACTCTTCCGTAGGATTCAGTTACCCCGCGAAATTCCATGTTTTGACAGATTACAGAATCATAGACGAGCATGCTGCTCGACCGAAAGGGATATGTAGTTTGGAGGGCTGATAACAATAAGAAAGACTGTTTAATCATTCACTGTTAATATACAAGGAGTCTGGCTGGCACTTACGAGTTCCTTCAATCTCACCAATAGCTCCCTCTAATATCAAGGATTTTATTCTTTACATTTTAGCGAGGTAATCATCCAGAAGGAAAGCCAAACTCATTTAGACAGGTTTAGTCAACTACTTTTTGCGGAAAATATGGACAAACGGAAATAGAAGACATCGGAGGATTGGGAAAAGGACAACGCAATAATGAAGTGGGTTAGCATTAATGTAGCAACTTGGCTGTATTATCAGAGCAAGGATCATCGCATTCATTATTGAACCTTCACAGATTTCCAAGGGGAAGAAAAGGGGAGAAACAATATCCATTATCCTACAGCAACATAAGAACCAAAAACATACATGCGATTGAATGAAATGTAAGAAACTAACAAAGAACCAGTGGTAGGTAGAGAAAACATCGTGCAAACTACAAAATAGCAGCCATGATATAAATAGATCTAGAAAGCGAGATAGAAACAAAACTCACGAAACTCAGGTACGGCGCGGCTGCCTGATTGTGCTGAAAGATTAGAAAGAATCAAATGGAAGGTCGAGATTGTGGAATCTAGTTCATGATTGGAAAAAGAAAGAAGAAGAAGAAGCATAAGAGAAAATCAAGGCACTAATCTCGCAATGGCAGCTTCAAATGGTTGGTCGTCTTCGTCGCGAAGTGAAGGGGGAAGAGTGCCCTAGCTTCACTGTACATTCATTTGCAGAGTTGTACAAAATTTTAGTTAATTATTTCGATAAATTAACAATTTTAGTCAATTTAGTCATTACAAGGCTAATAATCGATTTTAGGGCATTTTAATTAACAAGATCTGTTAAATAAAAGCTGAATTATAACTTTTAAAATAAAGAATGGTAATAGTCTTTATTGTTGTCTTTAAAAATTACTAATTTAATAAATAAAAAATATTAACTTTCTAATTTGTTTAAAAAATGATTGTAAATTTTCCAAAAAAAAAAAAAAAAAATACGAACTTTTTATTAATATCTTTTAACCTTTTAAAAATGTTACTAACATGGAGATAAAAATGGTTTATTTACCGTTCATATAATAAGGTAATTTGAAAATTATAAAAAAAAATGGATAAAATAATTAAATAAACAAATGAGTGATTTTAAAAAACTATGAGTATTTTTTAATCACTTTAATGGCAACTAAATAAAAATTGTTATAGTATTTAACTATTTTCTTTTTCTCTTTCTTTTTGAAGGACGACTAGTCAATAATGAATGTACTAGTATTCTTTTAAGTTCTACCGACATGTAAGAAAAAGAATTTAAGTCTCTTAGATTCGTAATAGATGTTATGACGACGTTTTAGTCAGCTAAATTGTCCACAAAAAAAAATTGGAAAAATTATTAAGTATTTTAATTCATTTTTTTCTTACATGGAAATTACATCCATATATTCTAAAAAATTTCTGCAAATTTTCTATGATGCATCGAACGTAACCTATATATATATATATATATATTTTAAAAATTTTCTTCTCTATTATTTATTTCTTTCGAATCCCATTAGTTGAATGCCACATGAAATTTCTTGTCGGGTTTCCTACTAAGCAGCAAGGAAATTTAATTTAAATTACGGTCTTAATTTCTGTAAACATTTTAAAATTTATATTACATTTATAGTTTACAATGGAGGTGTTTATTTAATGCCCACAGACTAAATTTTTGTTAATTTAACATTTAATTATATATTTACTTATAAAATGTTATTAGGTTTTTTAAAAGAATAATTATTATTATGATTGAATAAATAAATAAATAAATAAATAAATAAAAACCGGATATCTGTATGCAAATATTTATTTAAAATGAGAAATAATTATATTAATAAATTAACAATCAATGTACCTCAATAATATTGTAGAAACAAAATTTTATTTAACTTCTTTAATATAAATTTATTGTTTTATTTGTGCATGAAACTGGAAAGTGTAAATTTGTATAGAAAAAGAGGGAAGATGAAATAAAGTAGAGGCGGCTGACCGAATGGATTCATTCTTTTTATGTACTTTTCAAACCAAATACAACAACCGTTCCTTGTGGAGAACGGACACCAATAAATCAAATCAATAAAAAAACACGTGCGCATGCATACTCTCAATTAGTTTCCCCTCAACTTATAATATAATATAATTTTAATCAATTTTTTTTAATAATTGGATATATATAATAAGGAATAAAACCTAAAATAATCCTAATTGGAATATTCAATTAAAATTAGTGTTCACACTCATAATATTATTTTTTTTTTGGTAAGGGAAGAAAATATTATCATTGTCTAATAATGCGATTAGTTTGTTATCACTTTGTAAGTAATTTACGGGAAGCATCTAATTCGCCAATGTTGTTTCGAGGAACCACGTAATGAAAACTAAGTTTGCCTACCAGGAACCAACTAAGAAAATTAAATTTTACTTATCTGCCCATACTAGTCTCGCTCAAAATTGGCTTTAAATTTCTACTATATATATACGCACTTTATTTGCATATTGTATAGAAGAAAGCAAAAATGTTTAAGCCATTGCTGGATGATGGCTTCCAAGCCCCTTCATGCATCTCCTCGCCGCGCAAAACCATGCTTCATCTTCAAAGGTCTCGTTCGTTTTCAACTCAAATTTGGTGTATTTCGATTTATTTTGATCGTTGTTGTATCGGTTAATAAAAATGGTGCATTGCATCAAACATGAGTCGTTTCGGTATCGATTTTAATTAAGATGAGAGTTTATGTTAATTCTAACTTTAATTATTGATTTAATGCAGCTCAAAACACGAGACTGAAAACAAAACTGGTAAGATTGATCAAACTTTCAATATCAAGGCTCGCTTACGTGTATCAAATGTTTTAATTTCCACATTTTTATACTTTTTAAATTGACAAAAGAAAGAGAGCAATAGAATAGCAATTGAATGAGGATAATTCAAAATAAAATACATTTTTTTCCTCCACTTTTTGGTTGACGAGCTATTGAGGTCAATATTCTTTAAAGTAGATTGTACAATGACTCGTTCATCCTCACTTATTAATATAATATAGTTTTCGATTATTATTGATCTACTAATATAGTTTTCGATTGTACAATGACTCGTTCGTCCTCGCTTAATTACTTTGGTATTAACTTTATTTGTCTTAAATTTAAAATAGGGATTGGAATAATCTTAAAGCTTAAAACTACAATGGGATAGAAATTAAAATTTTAAGATAATGTTTAATACAAATTCTAAGTTTAGGATAACGGTAGAGTTCTTGAAATGATTTAAAAGAAAAAAGAAAAAAATAATGTGAGTGTGATTGATGTGAATGCTCAGCGATGCTGACACGTGTAGGTCATTGCACAAAAGTCGTGCGCAGCGCCAATATGGAAAACCTGAGGAGTGGGTACTTGTTCCCTGAGGTACTCACACGATACAATAAGCCCGCCACATTTATTTATTTATTTATTATTATTATTATTATTATTATTATTATTATTATTATTATTATTATTATTCTGTGCTCTTAACATTTAAATATTTGTATCCTTGACAACTTTGAGTCCATTCATAATGTTATTCAATTGCTCGAATTATATTTTAAGTATGCTGATTTAAAATTTTTAAATTCGATCAACATCGTCTTAACCATGTTCATTTTGAATTAGATATCTCTACGGGAATACGAGCATTCTCAAAAATATCCAAATGCAAAAATAATTAAGCTCGGAATAGGTGACACTACAGAACCCATACCAGATTGTATTACTTCAGCCATGGCAAAGGTATATATAATAATGAATATTGTTCATATGTTTTGTATGACAACCAATTTAATAACAACTTTCAAGAAATTTTGAATATTATTCAAACTCAACTTTCAGCATTAAAAAAAATTCATAAAAAAAATCAAATTTCATTTTATATGCTTGGGATGCTGACTTCCAACATGCTTAAGTTAAGTTAATCACGTGGTCAATATTGGGATGCCGACCCCATGAATTATTATTTTATTTATTTTTTCCTTTTGTGTCCTTTCTTCTTTAGGCAAATTACACATGAAATGGTACCGTTTTTTGGTATTTTAAATTATCATTCATATTAATAAAATAATAAAATTTTAATAAGGTAATATAATATATTTTATAAAACATAGCTTTACAAAAGTGTTATTTAAAGAAATAGACTCAACGAGAACATTAAATCCTTCTAATGCAGCAAGCAACTGCGCTGTCAACTGTGGAAGGCTACAGTGGGTATGGAGACGAGCAGGGCAGTAAGGTAAATTCGATAACTAATTTTAAACATAAAATAAATAAATATATAAAAAAAAAATTGACCAAATTTGAACTGTGTTCAGGCACTGAGGAAGAGAATTGCAGAAATGTTGTACGGAAATATGGGCATAAAGGGCGAAGAAGTCTTTGTCTCTGATGGAGCTCAATGTGACATCTCTCGCCTTCAGGTATTTATAATTTATTATTTTTGTAATTATTAAATTATTTTTCAAAATAAAAAACATAATTATGGTTTGATGAACATTTACAGATGCTTCTGGGACCAAACGTGACGGTGGCTGTGCAAGATCCTTCTTTTCCTGTGAGTTTATAGAATTTCTAAATAAATGAAAATTCGAAATTTAAGCGTAATTTGAGTAATGAGGATTGGTTGGGCAGGCCTACATAGATTCAAGCGTAATTTTCGGACGGGCAGGAGACCTACAAGGGCAAAACGGTAAATATGAGAGAATCGTGTACATGAAGTGTACCCCCGATAACGATTTTTTTCCAGATTTGTCAATCACTCCCAGAACGGATATCATCTTCTTCTGCTCTCCGAACAATCCGACTGGAACCGCCGCCTCCGCCGCCCAACTCCGCCGCCTCGTCGACTTCGCCACTGCCAATGGATCCATCATCGTCTTTGATTCTTCCTATGCCGCTTACATCTCCGACGGCAGCCCTACCTCCATCTACCAAATTCCAGGAGCCAAACAGGCACTAATTTTCGTCCTAATTTTGTTTTCTTCGCATTTTCCTCGAAATGAAGCTTGAACGACCTCGATTTTCCTCTCGCAGGTCGCAATCGAAATATCGTCCTTCTCCAAGTTCGCAGGCTTCACCGGCGTCCGCCTCGGCTGGACGGTGGTTCCGGAGGAGCTATCGTATTCGAATGGATTCCCGATCATAAAGGATTACGATCGAATCGTCTGTACGTGCTTCAATGGTGCCTCCAACATTGTTCAGGCCGGTGGCCTTGCTTGCCTTTCCGCTGAAGGTTTGCAGGTAAATCAAACTCAAAGAGCCGATCTCGCTGTAACGGTGGCTCAGCAGTTTCTTTTCCGATCCATCTAACACCGATCTCGATTGAATTCAGGCGATAAGCAGAGTGGTGAAATCCTACCAGGAGAACGCCAAGATTCTAACGGAGGCCTTCCGTGGGTTGGGAATGGAAGTGTATGGAGGCCAAAACGCACCGTATCTGTGGGTGCACTTTCCTGGATCGAGCTCTTGGGAGATATTCGCAGAGATCATGGAGAAGACGCATATTGTGACTATTCCGGGGAGAGGGTTCGGGCCCGGCGGCGAGGCGTATATTAGAGTCAGTTCCTTCGGCCACAGAGAAACCATTCTAGAAGCTTCCCAGAGGCTCACAAACCTCCGCACATTAAACATCAATTAGGTGAGATATCGTACGGATTATCTCGAGCCTTAATATGATAAAAAAAATAATAATAAATAAATAAG